ATCAGCAGAAGAGGAGAAGAGGGAACACACATGGTCTCTCCAGGCTGAGATGATGTCAAACATGACCACACCAAGTTGCACCAGCCCTCAGCACCAAAGGACAAAGACAAATGTGGTGTTGTTACAACATCTCTTGAGTCATCTCAATGCTTGAACAGACAGACTCTCCTCTGCAGGAAAGCAGATCAGTTGGGCTCCTTCCCCTCCCAGGAGACTGTGAGATCAGAGGAGGTGCTCACCCGGCACACCAGCACATTGGTGTGCCCAAATCAGCACCCTGCTGTCCTGTCAAGTCTAATATCACCATTGATGGTGTCACCTTCTACTCCCATCCCTTATCCCTAAGGATTTTTTTTTTTTTTTCCCTCTAATCCTTACAGATTATTCTTCTCATTGGGGGAGGAAATCAGAATGGTCTCTCAAATCTTTTTAGCTCAGGCAGGCACACCTTGGTCAATTTCCAGAGCTTAATAAAGGGACGCAATGAACTTGAAAAAAAAAAAGATTAAAAAAAATCATGCAAATCCAAACGTGCATGCTGTTTGTCTACTACTGCTACAAGAAACAAACCCAAATTCCTAGAACAGAGGACGATCACGAGAAATAGAAAACCTCTGTTTTTCCTGCTTTTTTCAGCCCATGAGTTTGACAGCTGCTCATGTATAGACAGTTTAATTGTTCTGCTGAAGGTACATCCCCTTCCCCTTACTCTGCAAGGGATGTTTTCCAGTAATGGCAATAGCAGAGCAAAAACCAACACCAAACAGGCAGCTGATGTGTGAACAAGGTGAAGGAAAAAGATAACTATTGAACATGGCTCATGTTGCTCCTGGGGCAACATGTCAGCAGGAAACAGAAAAAGATATAAAGTCACTCCTGCCTCTTCCCTACAGATATGGGCTTTCGACTGAAAAAATAAAACAAAAGAAAACGAATAGAGACACGTATTTCCTAAGAGTAATTACGAAAGATATGGTGGCAGTGACTTCTAATAACACGCTGTTTCTAGGATTTGTTAGATAGAGCAAAAGCAACATGAAACACATCCCTTTTCAAGACACCATGTAGGCTCATCACAGACGCTTTGTCAAGAAATAGCATTACAGCAAAGGCAGTGCCCCAAATCACCCGGGACCTTCACACACACAGAAACAGCAGCCTCACATTTACCCAGATGCTCTATTTTTAATCCACAAACTACCCACAACTGGCTTCAATTGTCTTGTTCATGACCACATGGTGAGATTCTGCAGCACCAGGTTCCCCAAGCAAATGGTTGAAGCAGAGGTGCCGGATAGGGCAGCGGTCCCTCACAGCACCCTCCTGGCCTCCCCTGTGCCCAGCCCTGGAGTCCTTACCACACTGAGTGATGTTCATCTCCTGCAAAGGGATGCTGGCTGCGTCCATGTTCATGCAGTAGAGCCGCTGATACTGCAGGTTCGCCTCACCCTTCTCCTGCCAGAGCTGGATCCAGCGGATGTCGCAGCTGCAGTTAAAAACGTTTCCCTCTAGTCTCCTACAGGCAGAGAGAGCGTGAGAAAGGACGGTGGGGTGGGGAAGGATGACTAGGGCCATCGCCTGGCTCCAGGCTCCCCAAGGAAGACAGCCACCACGAAGGTGCAAGGGGTCTTTTTGAGTTGGGGAGAATCTCCTCCATGTTTTTTGCCTGGGGTCTTCCGGTACATGTTGTTCATGTCTCTCTCGACTCCAGAGAGACCAAGGTTACACATCCGTGCATTCACACAGTCTCCTTCACGCACGCACACAAGGTTTTACATCTCCCAGGGCAGCACACTGGATACACGCAACATCTTTCACCGCAAGATTTGCGCATCCAAGATCATTCCAGGCAAGGCACACCTCCAGCCCCACAAGTGCTTGGTGAAGCTGGCAGCTGTTCTCCGGAGTACCTTGTAGGAACACAGCCTCCTGGTGACCCAGGACACGAGCTAATGGGCAGGGTATCATGCATTTTAATCAAATCAAACAGCGCTGCACTGAGACCCCACTGACCTGGCCAGGAGAAATGGAATAAAGTACTGCCTTTAATGCACTTCATTTAAAACACACTTACACAAAGTTTATATGCCAAGAATGTTTATTATAATTGATTTTTCCAACCTATTAACCATTTCATTTACATTTTTAAAGCCCTGCAGCTCTCTGTGGACATGTGAAGAGGACAGGTACCAGCAGGGAGGAGAACCCAGTGCTCAGCCGGGACAGACTGAGTTACCAACATGGGCTGCAAAGATAACTTGAGCAAAACAGGAGATACAGCCTGAAAACAGCATTTCTCCCCACGCAACTGTGAAGCAAAAGAAAGTAGGGAGCAGAGAAGCCAGAACTGCAAAAGGTGAGCTCAGTCACCCCAAAGCAGAAGGACATCTCCAGAGGTCAAACCACTGCTTCACACAATATCTGCCAAACAGGGAGAAGTTGGTTTTCTGGTCTGCTCCACGTGTTACTGCAAAATTCACGCTTGCTTTTACAAAATTAATTCCACCGACTAACAGGATTTGGAAACAACCTTCCAAACATGTGCAGCTACTGTTTTGTCAATACAGCACTGCAAAAGGAGGAGAAGAAGGGATCTTCTGGTAGCACCCAGGGGCATTAAACCTGGACCCTAACAATGCCACTTTAAATTTTCTCATAGAACAAGATGTTATCTGATCTTTCTATTTGTAGAACAAACGCTGAGTTAAATTTCACTCTGTGGCTTTTCATTAGTTCATTCCTTTCCTGTCAAAAGCATGTAAACCTTTGCAAGACAGGTACAAGGCTCAGACAAGTGACTCAAAGGCCAAAGCACTAAATTTAACAGACCAGAGCAGATTAGCACAGTGATTTGGTGGGATTCGAATGACAAGTCATTCCCCGCATGCCATGACAGGTCCTGCCAGGGCCTCACACAGGCTTTGCATCCTCTTCAGCATGGCCATGAATCCATATTCTCCTCGGGAGTCTTCCCAGGTCACTGCTACCAGCAGACACGGGATGGCACATGGGTAAGAGCCATGGGCTTGGCTAATGGCAGATCAGGTAACCGGACCTGTACCCTGGGACCTAGCAGAGACCCTGGGGAGCTCAGTGGCAACAGGGGAGAAATTCTGCTCCATTGCAAATATCATAGAATCACAGAATAGCATAGGCTGGAAGGGACCTTAGAGATCATCTAATTCAACCTCCCTGTCATGGGCAGGGACCCCTCTCAACTAGATCAGGCTACTCAAGGCTCCGTCCAACCTGGCCTTGAACACCTCACGAAACGAGTCTGGGGGGTAAAACTGCTGTCCCAGCACTTAAGGGCAGCTCCGTAAGTAAGAGACAGCAGCCTTCCCGGCCCATTGCCAATTCATGAAGGCCCATGAATAATAGAGGAGCAGTGGGCTTGGGGCAGAACTCACCCACCACCTGCCCCAACATCAGTGACGTAACTCGCTCTAATCGAAACCCCCACAGGGGTTTTTGCACAAATTAACTCCCACTGCTGGCTGACCGTGCTGATTGCCACCAGCGGCTGGCCTGGCACCGCAGGTAGAAGGGGCACAGATGTGAGCACCCGTTTTCCCTAACACGTTGCAAAAGCACTCGACACATGTGAGATGCCCTCCCTCCTCACTTGGTACCTGCCCTGGCAGGTCAGCTGGCTCTTCAGAGAGGTGCACAGGGACTTCCATGCTCACACTGTCCTGCACCTGCCCAAAAACCTGAACTTCCAATTCTCTCCTCAGACTCTGTCAGTGCCCCAGTCTTGGGGCTTGCAGGGATTATTAGGAGTTGCAGCTCCTTCCAGTCCTTCCTCCCATGACTTCTGTGACGTGTCCCCCCGGCACTGTGGGGCCAGAAGGCATCACCATGTGCTGCAGAGATGTCTCCCCATCACAGCAGGAAGGACAAAGACCCATGTTGAAAGGCACAGTGAGGCAGCCAAGAGGTCTTCATTGCTGTCCTGTGCTTAACGGGTGCAGCAGCTCTGCAGTGAGAATTAAGGCAAGGGGTTCCTCATGAGATGTATCCAGCACAGCTTACTCTCAAAGAGAAGTAAACCCAAAGGGCATTTTTTGCACATAGCCATAGCCTGGAAACGTTGCTAAAGCATCACTTGGTTGCAGGCGCTCAAGAGCTGAGCACACTCCCACACCTTCTGAAGGCATCGTTAAAACTGAAAATGCCTGTGAGAAATAGCAAGTACCACAGCCGTAAGCAAGCTGGGGTCTCTCCGCACAAGCAGAGCTGCTTTTTGCACCGAGGAGTTGGTCCAAAAACGGACCAAACCCACACGCAAGCCAGAGCCATCCACCAGCGCCCAGGCAAAGCACAGGCTTGCAGCAGGGCAGGCTCCAGGCACAGCCCCTTCACACAGCAGGCACTCATGTTGGGACAAAGGAAAACTAGGACAATCATGCCCTGTACTGTCATTCAAGGGGACGATGACAGAGCTGAAAACCCAGAGCCACCAGGTCACAAAGTCAACTCTTCAGAGACAACGATGCTGCAAGTACTTGGCTAAGCCCAACTTTCCTCCCTGCAGAAAGCTGTACCCACCCTCCTCCCAAAACTGCCTGGACAGCCTACACCAGGATGCACCAGAGCAGCAGAGGGATACCATCAGCATCCCAGTATGCATGGGGACAGACAGGAGTTCACGTACACACAGAGCAGTTTTTTTCAGGCTAGGCAGCCAGATGAGACACACGTGCTGTCCCATGCCTCCCCACTCATCAGCTAAACCAAAGCTGTCTGCAGCTGAAGCATCTCCGAGGGCAGCAGAGATCCTTGCCACACCTCTCCTGTCTGTTTTGATTCACAAAAAACCACTGCCGAGGCTTCGTACACTTGCAATTAAAACGTTTTCTCCTACCTCGGGACTCAGATGGCTTCCCTGAGCCTGAGAATCAAAGAGCGCCCAGCACAGACAGAACAGACTATTTTTGTTTTTCATTTCTATTTATTTCCCGGAACCAGGGCTTCTCTTGGCAGTCCAGCCAGAATTGTTATTTCCAAAGCCCTGCCAGGAAGAGATGGGATAGAAAGGGAGGAACTCAGACAGGGAGCGATGCGTGGCGTCTGACGGCTGGATTAGCTAACGCAAAGAGCAGGCGAGTACCTTCTGTCTAGCTACAACTCTATTAGTTGGTGGCACTAAGTTTTAAAGCTAGAGGCACAGACAATGTTAAGTTGGATTCATAACATTAATGGAGACACTGCAGTGTCCCAGCCTGACCAAAGCCTCTCGCTGAGGCGTTGCAGAAGTCTGCTGCAAGATGGCAGGGACCGCTGGTGTTGGAAACGCTGATGGGCCAGCAGAGGGGCGAGATGTTCAGGACTACAAGGTTTTATACAACCAAAGATGTAATTGGATCCAGAGTCTTAGGTCTTTCAGGAAAGGAATTTCTTGAAATGACAGCCCTAAGCTCTCTGAGGACATGACAAAGGAAGCCAAGGACATGACAGAGGAAACCAGCTGTGACTTCTGGATAAGAAAGGCTCCAAGTCCAACGCTTATGAGCTGTTGTATGTGTCAGATGCTTCCCTGTGAGCACTCAGCTTCAGGCTTAGGAGAGCTGTGCACACATCAGCTCAAGCTCTGCCGGTCAAGGACAGCCTGTGCTGTGGGAATTAGGGCTGGAGTTACTGGAAACCATTCCAAGCCTTGCGTCTGGCCAGGGGGAGAAAGAGATAATATTCTTTGGAAGTGTGCCTCATTTTTGCCATCCTTTCTTCAGTGAGTCAGCAGGAGAAAAGCTCAGCTCAGTTCAACAAGAAAAGAAATTCTCCTTTAAAGCAATACCACCTTCCCAAGCCTTGAATGGAGCCAGGCAGCTGTCTCAAAGTCCCAAGATCCCATCTACCTGCCTGCTCTCATAACACGGCGTGATCTTCACATGAGTCTTCTGCTCTTTCCTCCTCCATGTTCACAGTGAGTGGCTTTGTCAGGTCTCATGTTCCCTGGCAATCTCCATGTCACATCAGTTGTAGTTCCTCTCCTGCCAACACTCTCCCGGAGATGATCCACCTATCACTTCCCTTCCCACGTGCTCTGCTACTCTGAGCTGCACATCACGTTTTTGCCTTCAATGATTATCCTCCCTCCAGATCCATGATCACCTTGTAGCACTGGGGCACCAGTACTCAATAGGGTGTCCCTGGTGAACCACTGCAGACCTGTGCCTGCTTGTCCCACCAACCCTTCCCATAGACTTAAATTAACCCTCTCGAGAAAAGCAGACTCTTGCCAGCATCTATCTGTCCCTGGGGACTTCTGGCTGCTCCACGGCCATGCACAAGTGCTGCTGCTCAGCCTGCCTTCCTTGGGCTTGCTGCCTCTGCATCGGTCTCTGCTGCTCCCCACTGCCTTCCTTCCCAGAGAGTTTTGGCTCACCTTCAAGTCCTTGGCTGATGTCAGTCTGCAACTCCCTTTCTAGCTTTCACCAGTGCTTCACACTCACTTTACATGGGCCATGTATTCTGTCTCCCTCTCGGATTCTGGAAACCTCCTTGGAACCCAGTGTGACAAAAAACTGTCTTCTACTCACTCATCCTCTGCATTTCTAAAAAAAAAAATGCATCATCTCCCGCTTTTGCACATCCATTACTAATTTCTCCCCACCTAGGGGATTTACTTTTCCTTATCAACAAGTCTCAGCCTGCTAGCACTCGGGACAATAACCACCCCACAGTAGATAACGTATGCCTTTACCTTAATTCCCAACATCTTTATGTGAATGATTATTCAGAGCCCATAGCTCAGGCTACACCTCCATGCTGTCTTCTCTCAAACAAATCCAAAACTCAGCAGGACAGTTTCACGGCCCCGAGAGGACACTGCAAGCACATCCCCCTGCCTCACTAACACCAATGTCCCAAGGAGTATCAGCTAAGACATCCCTCTCCCATCATGCTTTGGGGAACAGCATCATCAGGTTGTTCTGGTACTGACTGTCCTACCTGTGCTCACATGGATGGAGGGTCCTTAGTGACAATGGAGAATTTGTCAGGAAGCAACAGTGACAAAGCAGTTCCTCAGAAAAAGAAAATAAACTTGACCAAGCTCTTACTCCAGCCCAGCCAACAGCAAGCCAGACCTTGCAGCCACACACGTTTGTAGGTCTCAGTTGATCACTGGAGCTGGTGCCAGGGGTGGTTTGCCAAGACCCCTTTCGCTGCTCAGTGCAGGAGAGGTCTGGCTGAGGCTCCAGCCCCATGCAGTGCGAAGCATCCCCATGGGACACCAGGGACACCACGCATCACATCAGTGCTGCCTTCCCACCCCATCACCTCTCCCTGCCAACCAGCCCCATGATCTCCCGCGTTTCTATCTGCTTTACTACTTTCATCAATCAGGGCTTGTTATCTTGGAGAAAACTGCTCTGAGCACAGCTCCAACTGGAGCCAAGTAATTCAGCTTCTTCCCATTTGCCAGGCTGCAGAGCGCTGGCCTCAAGTGACTTTGCTGACACCAACCAAAGCCACTCCAAGCCCACCAGCTTCCCTGTCAGGATCACCGCAGCAGGACAACACGGATGTATTCTTCATCAGGTGGGTATAAGTACACTTTGCTGCCCAAACAGCAGCGTCTCAATTCCCTTTGTGGCTGGTATGGGCCCTTTGAGCCTGCCTTGGGCTGGCAGACCTGGGACATGCCTGAAGAAACAGAATATGACCAAATGACACAAAGTCACATAAAAATGAGCCCCGTTGGAAGTATCCCCGTTAATCTGCAGGCTCACCATTACCCCAGGCCCTGCCAGTGCCTCTGCCTCCGGACTGCAGCCCCGTTTGCTCCTCCACTCTTGGGGCTCTCTTGGGTAACAACCATCAATCTGAGTTTTGCCAGACGGTGCAATGACAATAAGTAAAGGTCTAAGAACACAAATGACTCATGCTATTAAACTTGAAACCTGAGCCAGGCTTGAGAAATATTTAGAGCTGTAATCGGCAAGGAGACAAATTCCAAATTCAGCATTCTGACTCTGCAAGCCAGATTCCCCATCAGAAGGGCGTTTCTCTATTTTCTAATATCACTATTAGTATTTTTCATTTAACAATTTGACAGAAATAAAATACACTGCAGTAACACCAGTGATAACACACTTACTCCCACTTGAAAGACTGTCTTTATTCTTTCATAAGTCACTTCTAGCTCACAGCTCTATTGATCATCAGTGAGGATGAATGGAGCTTCCCAGGATCCTCTGGGACACATCCTACATATATATATTTTTTTATTCCCACCAAACAACTATTTCTAAAATTCAACAAAACAGGTCATCAGGGCAACGCTCCATTGATTTCGTGTCCACTTATTCTTCAAGCACAGCGCTGAATACTCTATCAATAATTCAGCAGGCTGAAGGCCACCAGTGCCCCAGGGGAGACACTATCTCATCTCCCACATCAGAGCTGGGAGGTGCCTCAATTGCTAGAGAGCAAGGGAGTCATTCGCCTAAAAAGCAGAGGTATTTTATAAAGCCTCTTCATAAGCTAAGGAAAAAACAGTTCCCCCCACCCTGCAACAGATGAGGATTAAGTATTTGAGAAGATCCACTCAAAATCTGGCCTCTTAAGTATTTCTAATATGTTCCCAGAGTTAGTCGACCATTTACTACCCCAAGCATGACTTGTTCATCATCCTGATGTTAATTAGCCAGCTGCTGAGAAGTTAAAAGAGAAGCAGTTCTGCTCTGGTGCTCCCATACCCAGAAAACCCTCCCAAGGATGGTGCTGCCCACTGGAGTTCTAGGTAATTATTCACAGGATTCAAAATAGCTCTATTTGGAAATCGTTCCCTTGCTCAGCCTCCCCTCTTCTCCCAGGAGATACCTCCAGGGTGGGACTTACAGTTCAAAGAGGCGTAGAGTCTGGAAGAGTTGCCATGACAGAGTGGTGAGCCGGTTCCCAGAGAGGTCTCTGAAAATTAACAAGAAAAAAATAGTAGTAGTCACAGTAAATAATTCCTCCTGCATGTGGCCCTACTGCCTCCACAGAGCTTATCGTCCTCCTCTATGGGGAGGCTGTCAAGTAGTTTAGGACCCAAGTTTAGATTTCATAATGAGAGATTTTAATGAGGATGAACCTAAATGGAAGCTTCTCATTTTACTTATTTTTTTTCCAAGGGGGAAAATTATTTCTATCCTCCTGCCATGCTAAGAAAAAAAATCCAAACAGAGCAAGATGTGTCTGATTCTTGCCCGTGAATCTGGAGCTTGACCAACCATAAGCAAAAAGAACAAGTCTAATTTCATACCTTGAACACAAAAATTTAAGTACAAACGTCGCATTAAAAATAGCAACAGCCAGGTGAAAACGACAGCACAACGATTACCCAAGGTGTTATCATATGATCTGCAGTAGCTGCGCGCTCGAAGTGTCCCAGTATGGCTGTGTGTTGTTCGCACCCAGGGGTACCACTGCTGCAGCAGCCAACCACTCCCCACCCCTCTCTCCATCTGCCCGAACTTGCAAACACATAAATCTCATCTACCTGGGAGAGCTTTGCAACCCAGCAGACATCACCTCTTCAGCTGAAAGCCAGAGAGGATAAAAGAGGGTAAAAACAGCCAAAGTACTAAAAACAAGAGGAAGAAATGCATTTTGGGCAGCCTAAGTGGAAAGAGAAAAACCTCAGGTATCTAATGGCATGAGAAGATGGTGACGAAACGCTTTCCATAGCAGGGCAGACTTCCTGGGGACGCCTGGCCAGCCTGAGAGCCACCAACCGAGGGACCAGACCATGGGGTGAGCAGAGGGATGAGTGGTTACAAGCTCTGGCAGAAATCCAAATCCTCCCATATCTACATTGGCCTCCTGAAAACACAGGAGGTGCTGCCTCGCATCCTTTGCTGAATCCACCCCTGTTCCCATCAGCTCCCTCCCCATCACGAGCCACCTGGGCAGCTCAGTGCAAGGCTGCAGGCACCCTCCTGCCTCAGCCCTGTTTGCTGGAAATAGCCATAAAGGACCAGAGGCACGAACAACCTGGAGGTTCATTAAACTCTCAACTGACCAGAGAACAGGTACGGGACAAGGTGGCACAGGGGTGACAGCCGGCAGCCCAGCCATGCCGGGTTCAGCCCACAGTCCCCGTTTGATTTGCAGGAACATGCTAAAAAACAAGAGAGCAAATCCTGGAATGGCTCCTGTCGGGGCAGGTCTGGTGGACGAGGATTTGGGATGAGAAAATTCATTTGTCGCCTTGCCACGGGTTGCAGCAAGGGCAGACGTGTTGGGCAAACATGGAGATGCCACAGCCCAGGAACCGACAAGAGAAAAGCAGCTCCAGTCCTGTCCCACCTGCTACCAAGCGATGTCGCAAAACCCAAAACTCTGCAATAAGGAGTGGGGAAGCCACGGCGGCTCACGTGCAAACCGTCACCCCAAAGGCTCTCCACAAGCCTGACAGAAGAATAAGCCCAAACACCACGATGGCACGGTACTGCATCGTTAAATTCTGGCTCTGCTTCACATCAGACTGTCCCGCTGTGTAAACCACGGCAAACCACAGGCGCCTCGTTTCATGCAACTGAGATCCCACCATTCCTACGGCTGTAGACAAACTGCTTCCAGGCTCCGATAAAGTTTAGAAAAGCAGCAAAAATAGCAGGTGAAGCTAAGCAGAGGAGGGCAAAAAATATTGCAAAACTCCTTTTATCCACCCTGGAGCACTGAGCACCTGGAAACTTTGCAAAGACAGATGAAAAGTAGGAGGGGAAGGAGCAGCTCGATGCTACTGAAAAGCGAAACAGTAAATTCCCTCCCCCAAGCCAGCGAGAAGAAGGAAGCGTAAAAGGGAACGCATGAGAGACAGCAAGATGTGGGAGAGAGGCAGAGATGCAGAGGAGGGAGTGAATCTTGCTGGAATGTCCTTTCTCAAAGGTCATGTTTTGCTACATTAGGCAGAAATGTCAAGAGAAAATTGGATTCTGAAAGAGAAGAGAAAACACAACAGGCTTTCCACGCAAATAAGGGAATCAAAAATAGCATGATCGTGTTATTACAATTTAGGACACAGAGAGATGGAGAAAGGAAACATCCTCACTAATGCAAGGAGCTTTGCCAGGCAGATGTGCTCCGCTTCTCGTCTCCTGCGGTCCCTGGAAACCAACTCCTACCACCTCCTCCCTCCCCCAGACAACAAACTGCAGCAAGGATAAGGCAAAGAGGAGACAGGTCTTCACTCGCACACAGCTGGCAGGAGACTCTGCAAAGCCTGTGTCTGATCTGACCTGACCATCGACTTCTGCAGGGCTGGTCAGGGGGACACACACCAACAGCTCCATTTCGGACCAGCCAGGACGCGTACGGGGAGGAACACGTTTGTCGTTGGAAACAGACACTTCACAATGTCAGAAAGGTCCTTGCAGTGGACCCTTACAAAGGTCCTTGATCTCAGCACAGAGCTAGAAAGGGGCTCCACGCATAAACGCGCATTAAAACCACACTATTTCGGTCACAAAAACTCCAAAGGTCAGAGATGCCGGGATTTGGTTTCCACGTGCAAAGAGTACATCTGCTGATCTGCTGACTTCTGCTACAAAAGATATGGAGCTCCTATGGAGAAACTCACCGCACAGCGCTGATTTCTCCCCAGAACAGATCCATCCTCTGCACTAGACGGGGCAGGTTTCCCGGGGAAGATAGCGTGTGGTTGTGTAATTAGAGACAGCATCGCAGTACAGGCACACGAGGAGATTAAATTACAGCTCCACCGGTGAACCAAGCTCTGACACTTTGTAACTCCTGGTCAATGCTCCTGAGGTTTCCCCTGTGCTCAAACCTTGCCTGTACACAGAGCTTCCCAGCATTTTGTAAGGCATAAATGGGGAGGATTAGGGAAAAACCAAAGCCCTCTCCAGCTAGGAGTAGTCCTCTCCCAGCTCCCATTCTGCATTCCCATCGCTGTTTCTAAGGCCAGAAGTCTGTTGTCAGCTGCAGATCCCCATCATTTGCAGCGACCTGAACCACCCTGCTGCACCCATGGCTGGGCAGTGCCAGGTCTCTCCTCCCCAATCCACTTGCCTTCCTTCCCACTCAGCTGCTGTTCCCCAGCAGGCTGAATCACACTACCCATCCCTCTCCAGACACTCCCAAATACTTCTCAGCCTCAGTTTCCTTTTCCATGCCCAAATTTCCTATGATCTTCCCCGCCTTCACGTCTTCCCATCCCAACCTCAGTGTCCCAACAAGAGCTGCCACTCCTCCTCTCCCCTGTATGCTCCCAAACATCCTCTGCAAAACTTCACCTCTCCAACTGGATCAAGAGTCATTCTGCCTATGTAAGGTGACACCTCAGAGCAAAACCAAGTCTTCCAAGCAAAATCTGCCCTTTGACAAAGCTTCTTCCCTTCCACAAAAGGAGGGTGCGTGTCTCTGGAACAGGAACATCACCAGTATTTTCTAGCTTGAGAAAAAACAGCTCATTTCCCCCACTCCCTTCCACCACCTCCGACATCTGAGCAGTTTTTTATTTGAAACGAGAAAGAAATAATAAAAAAAAAGAAAAAATAAATTAATTCAGCCAGGAGCAGACATCCAACACAGAAAACTTCAGCCTGAGCAATTAAAATTTGGCAGAGTTATAGGAAAATGGAAGCAGTCCTGTAGCGGAGCGTGCCAGACAACCTTTATAACAGCCTGTGCATCAGCTCCACCTGCAATAAAATACAGCACATCACACATCAAGGAAACACAGGGAGAGAGAAGCAAAACGCCTTCCCTGCATATTTCACAGCGGCAAATAGGAGTCTGTCTCCCTCAAGACAGACCTGTCATCAGCACTCCTGAAGCACATTCAAACTCCTTCTTTGCCATGGGACATTTTCTCCGTCACTCACAAGATACTATTTTCCACGGGAACAGTCTTTAGAAATAGCCACCAGGGTCCTTTTTGCCTCCAGAGCAAGTTTCAAAGGAGTTGGGTAGGGAGAAGGGGATGGATGGAGCTCACCTGGACCAGGTCCAGGGCAGCAGACACTCAAGCCACTCGTGACTCAGGCTTAACACCACTCCACTCTCCTCCTGCTCCTAAGCCTCCTGCTTTGCAGGTGGCTCGTCACACTGTACCCCCACCAGCCACCCCACGCACACCTCAAAGGCAGGATGTTATCACTGAGTAACAGCAAAGTCCCAGTTCTTGCCCTTCCCCTCCATCCATCCTCCTCCCACCCTTGAAAAGAGGTGGGTGGACGTGGGACAAGAGCAGAGGCTGGATCCATGCAGCTCAGAACAAGTGGACTTCAGTGCAAGAGGAGACGGCGTGTTTTGTCTTCCCTCAATTACCCAGCAGCTAAAAGTGTTTCCACTATTAAAGCCATTTTTATTCAGCTAAATTAAGCTGGAAGCCTCATTAATGACACCAACAAGCAGGACCCCCTGTAATTAAGCTGTAAGCTATATTATGCAGTTCAGCCCAACGCAACAGCAGAAACACTGCTGCTGGGGAGGGACCCTCCTCCACTCATCTACATCCTCCACCCTTGTTTCCAACCTGACACGTTTACTTCTGCATGGGAGAAGTTTTTCACACGTTTTAATAACACAGTGCCACTCTGAAAAATCTTGATTGGGGGGGATTAACTGCGCAGAGCAACTGGGGCTGAAGGAGCATGAGCCTGGCAGAAATAGGTGAGATGCATATCCTCAGCTGCAGTCCCCAGCACTGGATAAGCCAGTGGCACTGCATGGAACTCCCTTGACATCCCCTGTGCTTCCCATCATCTCACAGCTTGCTGCAGCCTTGGCCAGGTCCTGGTGGCCACAGGAGAGCAAAACATCAGTAGTCTCCCATGGTGCCGTAGGTGTAGCTCCATCCAGGCTTCACTTCTGCAGCAACCAAGCTGCTAAAGCTTTGGGTTTGAACCAGAGAAAGGCTGGAAAATCACTCTGGGGCTTGCTCATCCCTGCCAGATAAC